TGGGTCGTCGGAGCCTGCCGGGCGCTTTAACACAGCACCCTCGCCTTTAGATCTGAGCCTGGGTGTGCAGTCTGCCTGTTTGCCTCCAGCCTGGCCTGCAGGACATGGAAAAACGAAAATCTACGTCAAAAGTCGAAGGCATTTTTGAATTTCATTTGAAGTTACGTGTACATGTACTAGAAGTTTTATAAACAAGGCTGGCAAAGATGCGGACGTCTGTATGGACACATTTCGAGGAGAAGTCATTTATCATTTTTAACGAATGTTTTTAACGTCAGACAGCAACAATTTTGTCCAGATGAAAAGCTCCATTCATCAAGCATCAACGTCTACTTGTTTCTTTTCATTGTAATCGTGGGAACAATACAAACACAACATTTCCCTCGGTAATGAAAACAATTCAAATTGTCAAGAGCCTTGTCGGCTTTCGTATGCAAAGATATACATTTGCATAGACTCACCCTCTTCTGTGTGACTGCAGTCGCTTTTCTTTCTTTCTTTTCTGAGCTCTCCGACAGCCTGGCGATAAAGTTTCTTCAAATCGTCTCAAAGTATCCCAAATCCGCGCCTGAAAAAAGTACATATTATGTTCTGAGCAACATACAAACTATATCGATGTACTTCTAAGTAGAAATAATAAACTATGTTATTAATCAGTAAAAAAATAGTGTACACTTCTTGCCAAAAGAAATATTTCTGCCGTAGGCACAACTTAGCCAAGGTTTTTAAACAACATGCTTAAGATATATGTAACGATAGTGCCGTATATATAATAGTATCCTTGTTTTAGCTTACCCTGAAGGCCTCCTGTCGGTTTGCTGGTTCGTTGCGGTGTTGTCCTTTCAATGTAGTAGAGTCATTTCTTCCGTTGCGAAAACGAAGTAACAGAACGGAATGTTTGACGCCATTTTAGTTCAGGAACATACTTGTAATCTTTGCAAGCCGAGACAAACGTGTTTTGAAAAAGCAAACCGTCGTTGTGACAAAGCAAGATTCAAACGACCCACCAAAACAAAGCATCGCGTCTCTTATTGGCTGGTCCCGGCGAGAGCGAGGTAGGATTGGTCGTCAGTCATATAATCACGTGATCGCGTTCAATACTACAACCATCTTGTTTTTATATTATAGGTTTTAAGTTAAATCGCCTGTGCAGTCTGGACACTTGGATGATAGGATGTTTCTGATTGTGTGAATGTATTTATTTCAAGGGAGACAAATGATCTTCATAATTCTAATTCGTCATGATTACATGGCTTTATTCGTTCTAGAATTACACAACTTGTCGCTCACTAAGTGAAATAAAACCGCACTTCAACTCCAACATAACCTTACTCTTTGTAAATGTATCCAAAATCCACAATTAATGTCATGAGGGTTGACTTGTTTTGCTGGATTTCAGTATTTTACCAGGCATGGGGACGCTGTGAGTTCTCCCTTTGTTTACACAAAGGCTATTCACATAAACGGACGCCATGTC